GAGACGAACGGATTTCGGGTAAAAGGCAGCGCTTGCAAAACTTACTAACTGTTCACTACCCTAAGTCAATACATAGAAAATATAATATAAGGATATATTTTTTTCAAACTGGCTAAAAAGTAGAATTTAATAGCTTAAAACAATAAATCTGTTCGCAATTCGGTTCGTATCAATTAGGAAAAGCATTACTTTTAATAAAAGCAACGATTTTCTGTGCAAAATGTGATTTAATTGAAAAATTATATACATATATATGTATATGTATATGCATATATAAAGAAAAAATCATTAAAAAAGTGTGTGCATATCTATAAAAAGTGTTTCTAAGCATAAATTGTGTGGCAACTAATGATACAACTGAAAAAATTCTAATTGGAAAATTTGACTTTCGATTTTTTCTATCCGGGTTATGTATCTAGCAAAATGGTGTGAGCGCGAGGGGTCTAGGTAGATTGTGGAAAAAGAGGGTGCGAACTTATGCGAAGGAAAGGCAACGTAGGCTTAGCCGCGCCAGCAAAAGGCGTGCAAAGCACCAGGATGTGGCGCCGCACGCCACCCAAAATAGCAATGTCGATTGTGTTAGTGTGCGTGTCCTCTTTTCAATATACATACAACATATTTCTATGTATGTGTGATTGTATTAAATGCTACATGTACGTATAAGCATTCACGAAGTACTTATTTCAGCAGCCGAACACTTTGTAAAACTGGCTGTGACTCGGGTTTTTATTAGCAAGAAGGACGAATTTTATGAAAGCAGGACAAAGTGCGCACTATAATAAATATAGTTTAATTAATTCAAAATTTTTAATTATATGAAGTAGAAATTACCAAAAATTGCTTTCCTTGCAATAATTTACAATAGGTTTAAATTTATATTTCATATAGTTGCTAGTGTCGAATCATATTGACTAAATCCACGTTCTTTCGAAGGTTAAGTATTTCTCTATAATTTTCTACTACTGTCACATTGTTATATTCGTATGCGTGCACATTAGGGTGGTCCAAAAACAGTAAAGTCGGAATTGTAATGCTCTGACCCCATAGGATTGTTCTATATCGAAAAAAGTATACCCCTATTTTTTTATTTTGAAATAAAAAAATATTTAGAGGTCGCTCAAAGAGCTCAAAGTTTTCCATGTATTTTTATATTAGAAAAATAAAATTGTTCGTTGAAATGGTATAGAATGCTTGAAAATCAGTGTTTTTCGATCGGAAAGCTCTGGTTATCTTCAGGAGACTTTCAGTAATAATACCCAATTGTTTATTTAACCATTTTTTACTTGGTGGCCCCATTGCATTTTTCGGGTTTTCGTGGGTTTTTGGCGGACCTATAAATTATAGTTGCGATGAAAAAATGGATAAAGAAACAATTGGGTATTATTACTGGGAATCTCCTGCAGATAACCAGAGTTTTCTGGCAGAAAAATATTGATTTTTAACTATTCATACCATTTCTACGAAAAGTTGTTTTTTCCCCATATAAAATAAATCCATGAAAAACTTTGCGCGCTTTTAGCGACCTCGAAATATTTTTTGATTTCAAAATAAAAAAATAAGGGTATATTTTTTTCGTTACAGAACAATCCTAGGGGGTGAGAGCATAAAAATTCCGACCTTACTTTTCCCCCCACAAGCATTTTTGGACCACCCTAGTGTATATACGTATGTATGTATATAGTTTTCAGGGCTTTGCTGATTCATTATTTTGTCAGAGAAATGTGCATATGTGTTTGGCAGCTATTGTTTGGCAGGCAGCTCGTTCGTCCTGTAACCGTCAGTATCGTGTCTACTTTCGCCATCGTCATTGGCACTGCTGTTGCTACCGCTGAGGCGGAGGGTCGGTTAATAGCTGTTGCAGTTCACTTTGCAACTGCTTTGATCTTTATATCATATTGAGGAAACATTTAAAAATAGGTGCTGTCGAGGAGTTTCTTAAAGAAGTGATAAAACGAATTAAACACTAACGATATTTATATTTCTACGTGTATATTGTGTCTGCAATAACGGAAAATCTGTAAGAATCTGTGTTTTGGTAATTTGAACTAAATATGTAAATCGATGAATGGTAAATTTTTTGCTTTGGTGAAAAATGTTCTACAGAACATCGCGAAGTTTAACGAATATGTGATTAATAGGCCAGTGCTTTCAGACAATTACCTTCCCTGGGCCAATTTACATATAGAATGTATTATATAATAGACGTGCCTGAACACAAACTATACGAAAGTCATTTTTAACTTTTGTATGAGCAAATGTAATTCACAAACACGCTACACTCATTATAGGGGTATGCGAAAGTTATGTATAAAAATCGATATGTGCAGGCCTTATTGAAAATTTCAGTTTCTGTGGCTTTGATGCCTTTGATGTCCTTTTGAATTGAATGCTTCTTGTGTGTCAGATGTGAAATTTATAAAATGTTAGGCAATATTAACTACGAGTAGATAAGTATTCGCGTTTTGAATCAATGAGGGTTATATACATAGATATGTATGTACATATGTACATTTTTAAAAAGTTTAAGACAAAACTATGATAGTAAAGTTGTTTCAGGTCATAAATTCAATATTCTGAAATCCTAGAAACGGATCTAAGGAGTGTTTAAAATTTGAAATTTTGTAAAGATGCGTGGTTGTATGTGCATATGTAAAATGTATGTTTGTTATACGTTTATACATACATATATGTATATTGCATCATCTTCGTACTCGCATTTAAACCGCTACATAAGGTATTAAGAAATAAAACAATTTTTATGGTGCCGAAGGACTTCAATGCTACAGTTTTTTCGCACCAGCTATGAGGCTTAAATATTATGGTTAGCCTAAATTACCTCCGGTATAGCTAATATATTCTCATAGACAAAAAGGTATATTTTACATTTAGATTCTTAAATATATACTTCAATGGATAAAATGTGCGCAAGAATTAAGTTACATATGGATGTATTTATATATATACGTACATACGACCCAAATGATGAATTAGGTGAATTATAATGAAAGGCTATGAAGTTTCACAGCAAAGTCTGTTCAACCTATATAAATAAGCTATCATGGCAGGAAAATCGCTCAGGTACTCACTACGGTAAAGTCCGTTGGCTTAACTTCGCTTTCCACCTCATTTATTATTTCTCAATATACTCGTACATACTTATATGTATATGTATGTAATTAAGTCGCTTTGCGTGTAGCGCAAGTTTGTTGTTGGGGTGCTTCTTTTAAACAGCTGGTCGCTCAAAAGCAGAAAAAGAAGGTGAAGTGTATAGTTAACTGGAAGTAAAACTTTGGAAGCATTACATATTGGAACGAGAGCAACGCAAAAACATCGCAATACTTACATATGTACATAGCACTCGAAATAAAATTCATTGTCAAATCGTGTTAATACTAAATTTATAACACAATAGAAACAAAAATATAATAAAACAAACACCTTTTAGAAATAGTGCAAGTAAAGTGACCCGAATGCCCCATTTCTAATAAGGTTTAATAAAAGAAATCGCCATGTTTAAATTTTAATGTAAAAAGTGCGTTCTTTTACTTGTAATTCAACCACAATGCATTAAAGAAAGTGAAACATACATACATACATACATACATATATGTATGCAAAAATCTAAACAAATAAATAAATATGTTGTCTTCCTTCCACCATTATATTCGAATTAGTATGCATATCTAAATAGATAGCAATTTGTACAATTTTGGGGGGCGCAGTGAAAACCGTTTAAGTATGCAAATAAAAGTAAAAAAAGTGTACATAAAAAGTGACAAATGAACGCCTCACGTCAATCGTTAGCATGGTTGATTCCCAAAAAAAAGTGTGAAAGTGCAGTAAAAAGTGAAGCTTAGTGATATCTAATTCAATATGTACATATATTCATATGTAACATGTGTATGTCATAGCTCCAAATTTAATTGAAACAAACACAAGAATTAATAAATATTTTAATATCGATTAAAAGTGTAATAGCCGAACAAGCAGAATAAGCGTTCGTAACAGCAGTAGCAACAGCAGCAGTAGCAACAATATTAATCATTATTCACCATTCTAAAATGTTACCGATGCTAGCGAGATAATATTTCATCGCAAATTGACGCCGTTTCATTCAGCAAGTTAACGATTAAAATAGGATTTCCGCTTCCTTCCGCTTATCTGATGCCTTCGCATATCTACATATGAAACAAAAAATGGCACATTCTAAAATCAACATAATAACGAAATGAATTTAATCAATAAAACAAATGCACTAGTTTCGTTTCGATTATCAAATGCGACTAATGTGAAGTGTAAACTGTTTCCAATAATAAGGAGCCATTTACTATAACTACTGTACGATACATACTTATACAAATATACATATTTAAGCGCAATATTCACAGCCCCGCCCTGCAGACAACCACAACCCGTCAACTGAAAACAGCAAAATAAAACGGCAACACGTGGCCTCAACAGGGAAAAGTGTAATCTAAAGCTATTGTTTCTACTAGGATCAAAGGTACATATCACCCTACATACATACCCGTTTATAGTAGTTATTACATGCTTTCGCATTTAATAGAAAAGCACAATAATGCGGCGATAAATAATCAATGTTGCATAACTAATTAAATACATTTCATGTCAATTCAATGCAGAGTGGGGTGCTAGTTGTACTTTCTAAACTGCATATATAATTATTTACAGTACTATTTCCAATTAATGGAACTAAATATAACATGTATATATATGTTTGTATGTACACATGTACATATGTATATGTACATAATGTGGAAATAGTGGAATTTGAGCTGGATGGAAAATGCATGTACATACTGATGTATATAAACCGGAATTTTGACACACAACTCTCTCATTGAATAACATACTACATCCTCTCTTTACAAATACATATAAGCTGGGAGAAACGCATCCGAAAATGTTTCGTTAAGTTTTCGGAAAATTACGAATTAAAGGCATAAAGAAAGAAGTGAAAAAGAGAGAAGAAAATCTTGATAAAAACAAAATGGATAAGAGCTCTCATGGTCAGAATTTCACCCTTTCCATAAAACACTTTTATATTTATTTGTGTGTGTGTACAAGGCAATTTTCGTGCGTGTATTTACCTAATGTATGATTTACTTACATAAACGTATGTATGTACATGTTTATGTATGCCTATGTTGTTATTTTTGAAACAAAATATCTACCGTTTATTTCTTACAACTTAAGTAGTCCGTTCGATAAAAGTAAACTATTAGAAACCTATACATTTTTATTTGTGTTCCGTCGACATACACACATAAATACTTACTCACACGTATTTACAAGCACATATGTATGTCCAAGTATGTATGTGAATGTGCATTCAGTAAAATCGCCAAGGCCTTTCATTCATTGTCCTTAAAGTTATAGCATTTCCAGTTTAAATGAAACCTTTTTTCAAATTTAACGCAACTTCATTCAAATTAAGTGAATCTATTTCCATGCCAAAGGACGAAGGCCGAAGGGCGACCGCTATTGGAAAGAACTTTTTTTGCTTTTTATTTTGTCAAATACTGGGCTTGAACTTAGGCCCTGCGGAACGGTAGCGCGCTCTGCTAACCACCACTACACCACAGCGGCCCCCAGTGTTAACCAGGCATGATGTAAACGGCCCTGGACATAGTGTATAAAATTAAATAATAGCTTGTCTATTCGCCGCTTTCGCACAGTCATTTTGATCAATTTGTGCTATATTGCTATATCGCGCTCACCTTATAATGATCGGGCATAGACTATTAACTTCGAAAATGCCTTTCTATGGGGTTTAATCCATTATTAGCCACCAATCTCTCATTTCTTGTTATTTATAGATGCTGGCATCATCTGGCATAACTAAAACTGAGTTCTGTAACTCTGCTTGGAAACGGGCCAATTTCACAGTGGAATGAGAAACAATTTTTTGGTGAACAAAGCCAGCATAATGCATGCCAGCCATTAGAGTCACATTTCCTCCTCTTAAAGTCCAAATAAAAAAAAAAAAACTAATCGGCTGTTTTACTGGTATTTCTTATTCAATGTGCCTTGACCTTAAATAACAATCCGTTGTTCGTGTGAATTCACAGTAAACTAAAAAGGGTACTTTGTTTCTTTTGATTTGAATAAAGATTCACTGAATTTGGAAATAAGTAGTTTCATTTAATTGGAATAAAGTTGCATTCAATTTGAAAATATTACGTTAGATTTACGGATCTTTACACGGTTTTTCTGTACTAGGTCATTTTCCAAAGAAATTTCTTTTTATTTTGCATCGTGAATAAAAAAAATTCAAACTTTAACAGGGAAAAAAATTACAAATTTCTTCATTTGTATCAAAAGCTGTTCTTTTACAAAAAACTCAAGGTAATTAAGAAAATCTAAGGATAAATCATAAGTTGTGCATTGAGCAGGAAAGAATGTTACATGGCGTATGAGTAACATTCGTTCCTGCTCATATTTCATACAAAAAATTATTGCGCATTTTCATTTGATCATTCCCAACTTTTTTTTATTTATACATGTTTTATTTTTTGCCAATTTTTTATAAAAAATATGGTTAACTCTACGACCAAGATCCCAAAAATCCGAGCTCCAAACCTTGTGCAATATTAAAGTAAATTCTGCAAATTTTCGTTGAAATATAACAATTTTTAATTACACTCTTTAGAAAAAAACTGAGTATGCAGTTTTTTAGCCCATTCAATTTTAGTATAATAATTATATGCAAGTCTGAGGAAGCTAGGTAAATTTTTTTGTTGAAGGTAACGTTCATTTTCTCCATTCAATGAAAATGAGCACGAAATATGTCAAAATACTTGTAAACTAATATCCTTTCCATTAAACTGGCGGACTAAAAAATTTAAAATGGCATCTTTGAATCACCGCTTTAAAGACGCAAGGTTTTATTTTTTGAAGGCAATTAATTTTTACAGTATGGGTATCAACTGTAATGGTTTTAAAGCGGTTTTATTTCTAAACTTCATGTAGGAGAGTTGCGACATGCTTCAAAAGTTGAATTTAATTTGAAGTAGTATAAATATGTAAGTAACACCATATGGTCGCCAGACGAAAAGACTTTTAAGAACGTAGTAGTTCGTAAATATTTTGTTGAGAGTCGTCACCTGTTTCAAAAGTCGAATTTAGTTTATTTATGCACAATGAAAATCTTTAGTTTTTAACACTAAGAATATTTTTGAAGTAATAATATAGAGGGTGGCTACCCGTTTAAAAAGTTAAATGCAAATTATTTAATAAGTTAAATTAATTTCTAAAATATTGATATCATTGAAGAGGCTTAGTTCTGAACCATATTTCGAGGGTTGCCACATGCTAAAAAAAATCCAATTCGACCTAATTCATCTGTTAATTTAAATATGTATCACTATGTCAGGAAAAAGTTATTTAAAATGGTTTAAGCTTAAAACTACTTTAGAAGGCGGTTGCCACATGTTTATAAAGTCGCATTATACGCAAATATTTTGAAATATAATAAAAATATGAATCTTTTCTTTGTTCATATAGAATGATTGAGGAGTATCACGTGTTTAAAAAGTGGCATTCAAATTATTTTGTAAGTTGGATGAATTATTAAAATATATGGGTATCATTCGAAATATATTTGAAAAGGATTTATTTATGAAATATATTTAGGAGAGTTGCTTAAAAAAATACAACTTTCTAAATTAAGGTAATTAGGTAATTGAAATGTGTATCACAATTTGGGTGTCAGACGAAATATATTTAAGAAATTTCAATTTGAAAATACTTCTGGAAAGAATTGCCAACTGTTTGAAAGTCGAATTTAGTCAATTATACACAAGTTTTTGCAAATATTAGAATATGAGTGGCAATCGAAAAAGATATATGAACGCTTTGATTTGAAAATATAATTGTTTAGGCTTGTCACTTTTTCGAAAAGTAATACTCATCTAACAAAATATATATTTTATACGAGAAGGCATTATGCAAGACCTCCCCTCACTCAGAAACGGCTGCACGGATTTATATTAATTATAGCACTCGGATCGCTTATTACTCTGACTTACATTTGGAATAATTTATAGGTTTTTGAATCTTAATTTCGGGGTTTTAACGCCATGCGGGTTCATTAGTTCTTATTAATTTCTATGACTGAAAAAACTTCGGAAAACGCTTTCTGTCATCACTTGCGAAAAGAGCGTTTTTAAAGTGGTATTACGCAAGTATTTTGAAATATTGCATGCTAATTTTCATTGATAGAAATTTTGAGCAGAGCTCTGGGCCGATTTATGACAATCGTCCCATATCTATTATTTATATTATTTTATAGCAGTTATTTAAATTTCATATTCGTGTTGTGAAAACTAGTTTTTATACCCGAGCGCACTTGTGCACAAGGGTATTATAACTTTGTTTACATAACGGTTGTTTGTAACAGCCTAAAGGAATCGAGACGGATATAGACAATTGTCTACACATAAATGCTCAGAATGAAAAGAGAAATCGATTAAACGGTGACTGTCTGTCCGTCCGTTTGTGCACGACTCCAGACAAAATTTAGATATCTTAACGAAACTTGGTACGCGTTTTTCTTTTTAGTCAAGGACGTATTTAAAATGGGCAAAATCGGACAATAACTACGCCTACCTCCCATATAACGGTAGTTGGCGGAAATATGAAAATTGCGATATTTTAGTAAATCACTCAAAATTGATACTTACAATGACCTTTTGGTGGAAATAAGAATATTGAAAATTTTTGTAAAATGGGCGTAGCCATGCCCACTTATGATTACATGTTTATATATCGGTAACCGCTTCACCAAATCCTCCCAAACTTGGCACAGTGGTCTTGGTAAACCATACCAAACGGCTGAAAATCAGACAATAACCACGCCCACATCCCATGTAACGGTAATTTAGAGAAATGCGAAATCTTCGATAAATCAGTATTTACTGAAGCTAATTTATTCAAAATTGATGTTTGCAATAATTTTTTAGTGTAACACCACCCACTTATGGCCACATATGCGAACCTCGGTAACTATTCCATCAATTTGAAGCCAACTCGTTATAATAGAGGGACTTTACACATAAGAGCAAGACGTTGAAAATGTACTAAAATTACGTCCACTTTTCACATAGCGGTAAATTTCAGGAATACAGACATTTAAGGACGCTAATTTACACAAAGTTAATACGCAGAACAATCTCCTAAAAAGAAATAACTAAATGAGCGTGGCACCGCCAATTTATGACTACACAAGTTTATCTTATTAAATCGCACTGAACATACTGGTGGCCGTATGGTCTTATTTCCATTTTGTTATTTTCAATCCAGAAGTGAAATAAAGTCATATACCAAATTGTACAAATGAGAAATAATTGAAATTACAACCGCTTCAACTAAAAATGCATGTTTGGCCACACTATTTGTGGATCACACATTTTTCAGTTAATTGACCATGGACGTGTTTCCTTATTATTCAGTCCGGATCTAGAAGAGAATAGTCGTAGTTTA